CCCATCGGTCTTGTCAAGCCACCCCCACCCATCGACCAAAGCTCGTCGGGCAGTCGGACCAAAAAAAAAAAAAATTAGAAAAAAATAGGCCTACTGTAGTTTTCCCATCCCAGCCATTTCAAGCAATCTAGGAGTCCCCCTCCCATACCCAACCCCGGATCCGGCCTTTGGCCCTCAGATAACGCTGCGCGCTATAGTTACACCCATAAATACTTAGTCCCCCCCCAATTCGGACATTTTACCCCACCATAAATTATATCCTAGAGCCGCCACTGTGTATAGGGCTAACAAAATCTATAAGATTTTACATGCCTATCATTGTGTTTGAAAAAAATGGAGGATATGCTCCTTTTTAACCATTTTATTATCAATACGTAAGTCATTGAGAGTTCTAGTTCGTCGACAATGTTGCTGTATAGGCAAGATATACACAGACAGCATATGTTTCCGCTTACGTTTCTTATGAAAAGTTGACTTGGAGTCAACTTTTCATAAGAATCGCTTGCAACGCAACGTATGTGAGTTCATTCAACAAAAAGCCACTAAATCGCAGTTTCCTGTCAAATAGTGGAAAACGACGTATCACATGAAAATTCAATACGTCGGATTCCTGTCCAAAACTGTTTTGCGACGATTTTAGCTTAAGTTACGTCAATTTCACAACGCACCAGTCGCAATCGGTTTCCTGTCAAATCGCATTTTCTTTCGATAAAACGATGTAATCGTAAGTAAATCTGCCTTCTTACGTCGACAGGAAACCAGGCTTAAGCGGTTCTTCTAGGAGCTGGAGTTTTATCGGTTTGAGGTTTACAGTGGGCGTCACATGGTGCGCCAAGGTAGTAACAAGATATAAATTAACAAAACGTTTGTGTTGCCTTATTCAATTTATGAAATTTTATTGGCTGTGTTTTTTTTAATTTTTACTGTTATGTCAAATTTTGTATTGTGTGTGCTCCTATTGATGAAGCGAGCTCCATAGGGCCTATCTATTTTGTACATCATGAATCGCTTTCAATAATGAATCACTTTCATAATCGTAATTTTAACTTTTTGCCTGAATTTTTTATATTGAATATTATTGAATAAAATCCATGAATGAATGAATGAATGAATGAATGAATGATATCAAAATCAACTCTGACGCTAACAAAGCATTAAAATGTTATGGTATTGTGCATTGTTTGATGAATACACATGCCGCAATGCATTCATGAAATCATGTGGATTCACTTAGAACACTATACTTCTGACATTGTTTTGTTATTGTACATTCTCCCATGTTATGTAGGCCTATTCATTGCTGTTTTTTAACAGGATATTTTTATTACTCTAATTATAATAGTAATGCAATATTTATAATTAATAAAGGTCAAAGGACAACGGTCAAGGTCACAGAATTTTCAAAATAATTGTCTGAAACGCCTAGAGCATAAAAGAAAATAGAAATTGCCCCTAATTCCCGGCGGAGGTATGAATTCTATGGAGCAATCTAGATGTATCTAAATTTTTAGCATGGTGACTTATCAGTTATAATCCCAATATAAAATAAATAATAATTAAAATATGTTTAAAGTTTAATTGTTTATAATAGTATACTGCCACTGAAAACTGTATACTTGCAAATAAAAAAGAACACCTTTTAATTGCTTAATTAACAAAAAGAACAAAAATGAAACATATTGTCAATTAACTGATATTTCAAAACAAGATAGTTTTTGATAAATTCCTTTGCACTTCTGGCAGCAAATTTAAAGATAAAGTATTTTTGGAAATTATTGTGAAAGTTAATAAATTGCGTGATACTTAATTGAATTATTAATATCTTTGCAAGTGAAATGAAATGGCATTTCAAGTATCTATTAGAAGTAACAAAATATATGGAAAAAAAATTAACAAAATACATAGATAAGAAAAACACTGTACTGATTTAAAACAGAATCAAATCATAATGATATACAATTTTGCTGTTCAAGAAATTGATGAAACCTATAACATATTGAAACATACAGATATTCAATTATGCAAATTGTCATTGAGTTTATATGTGCTTTTATGGAGAGCATTAATAACATTTCTAACTCAAATTATATTTAGTTTTTCACAACTCCAAAATCCCAAAAGTGAGACTTGAATGGAAACAATTGATTGGAAAGGTGTATACAATAATAATAAAAGGAGTACATGGTTGAGTGGTTGTTTTGTGTTAAAACCCTTTAACCAGAATTAACTGTGGTTACAATAACTACTATGCCGACGTGGTCATACAGTCATAGTGCGCTATGAAGTAAAGATTTCTTGAGTCATGAAGCTAAGTAATATTATCAACTTAATTGGAGTAATTTTGATAAATGTTGGCCAAATAAATGCCATATCAATGTGTGAAAGGCTTGGAACATGTAAAGAAACAGAGAAGGACGCAGACGACCAGCAGACATGTGATTCAACAGATGGTTGCAATGAAGACACAGGTAGAGTAGTAATTAATATGCAGGAAATAGCTACTATTATATGATAAATACATTCATACTTATTGTTAATCAAAAGGTCAGGATTTAACAGTCTGACATAAAATATGGTCCACAAAATCAATTTATTCAGTGAAGGAAAGCACTTGTAAAATTTAATGATGAATTTGCATAATTGAATATTCAGTGTATTGAATATTTTGGTTATTTGATTTTTAATGTCTATCTATATATCAATTTTGAATATTTTTTTTTATAATATAGTATATCTTCCAATTTTCTATATAATTTTTTACATTTACTGATACATGTCGATTATTCTTTGACTTAAATCTGTTACACTTATAGTTATCGACTAAATATTTTGGTTATTTGGTTTTTAATGATTACCTATAAATTATTAATACAGGTCTCCCTCCAATTAAAGACCATTTTTAGGACCAGAGTTCCATGGTCTTTAGCAGCTTTAGTCACTAATTAGAATAATAAAAACAAAAGACATTTGTTAATTTAGGACTACAGAAAAGTGGTCTTTAATTAGAGGTGGTCTTTAATTGGAGGGGTCTTTCATTAGAGGAGACCTTTATTATGATACAGTACATCATACTTTTTGTGATTGTAAAGCTCCATTTATGTCTCCTTGGAACTTGACTTCGGCATCAACTGATCTTTGAAACAGAAACTTTGAGCAACTGTGACTGCAATTTGAGAGGACAGACACTCCCACAAAGGACGAATAAATGCCAGTTGCTTTCAGTTTCCCATGTTCTATTTTGCTGTGATCCAAAGCCAGTGACATGTGATTGAAATTGTTCATGTTACACTAGTTACTTAGTAAGTTCTAACACATCCATGATGCGGGTGCAACCCGTGCTACTGTGACGTTAGTTTAGTTAGTTTAGCTTGTAGTTTTATATTTCGCCTATTCCTTTAGGTTACAAAACGCTTTGTTTTCCCTGGTCATTGAGCCCACATGCTTAAGTGTTGCTGCTGGAATCTGCGCAGGAGCAGGCAACCCCACCAGGGACCCATTTATATTCCTGGGTGGAGAGAAGAAATGCAGATAAGTGCCTTGCTTCCAATTATGGTAGCGTTGAATTATGGGAACTAGTGGACAATCAAGTCGAAAGCAATCTCGGCAACTACATTAGTTATACTATAGCTAGTATCTTAGAGTTGTGTGTGAAAGTTGACATGAGCGCTACTGGTTGAGAGTTGAGACGAGCCACAAGTGTGTATTAAGCGAAATCTATATGCTCAATTATTATTACTTACATTTTTCATTTGATGTTTAATACTAACATACTTTAATCTCAATCTGTTGAAATTTTACTTTTGTATGTATACATATTAATTATTTATTTATCTAAATAGATCTAAATTAAGGATTGAGATGTCTTCACTTCCTGTGCTTATGAAAATGAAATCTAAATGCTTCATTTCCTTCTTTGCTTTCAGGATTATGCTGCGGTGTTGGTAAATCAGCAGTATCTACAAGGTAAGGGAATTAAAAGGCTTTATTCCTAATTATTGACATTATATTTTAATGCCATATAGAATTCTTAATTTGTTTTCCATCATTTGCATGCAGTACTGTAAATATATGAATGTTAAGTCAGGGTGAGTTTCTACTGAAAATGTAGAAAGAAACAATTCTCTTATCACAGGCTGGTTTAAATGATTGCAAGCCAAAGTTTGGAATATAACTATTGGATAAATGAGTACTGTAGCTCATGGTTGACTAAAAATTAATACTCATAATTTAAGTTAAAATAAAACTGTAACAGTTGAGTTGCCATGAAAGGATCATCTTATTTGACTGACCCAATTTCATTAAATCCGTTATTATTTTTGTGGTTTAATTGCAGTAAATCCTAAACTTTTGAGATTGATATAAATCCATTGGTTTCCTCTGAAGTTCATGAAAGATTTTTTCAATAATTCTACCTTGTGTTTCAAATACCTCAGTAGATTGTGTATTGTTATTGTGTATTTTTGTTTGGTATGAAAAGGATAAGATCTTAATTACAAAAACACTAAAGTAACAAGTGCCTTCTACAGAAGTAAAGAATAATTAGTACTGTATATATAAAATGTTATTGTCAACCTATACAAAATTACTACATAAGCTGTGGTTTCACGAGAAGTGTGCTTCACTTGGTGACCTACTTATTTGATATGTCCACTGTACTTGCAGTTATTTTTCTTAATCAGACAGCATACAGTAATTCATTTTTCTTTCATTGATTACAGTATAGCCACAATTACGGCATTTTATTTTATTTAAAAAAAAATTACCATTGAGTATAGAATATTATGCTACTGTATATTCATAAATATTTGGTTTAGTTACTGCAGCATAAAATTCTGATTCCTTTGAAATCTTTAAGAGCTCTGATATACATACCCTCTGTTTAATTGAATTCATTGATCTGTTTAAATGAATTCATCGATCTCTTTTGTTTTCGATTGAGTATTACTTAGTATAGCATTTGTCTGAAGTTGTTTGTTGGATTTTAAATTTTGTATGTTTGAGGACCTCTTTGAGTCAGCTTCGCTGTAAAACATGGGCGGCGGAACCGGGGGGGCCCGGGCCCCCCCCCACTTTTTGGCGAAAAATATATAATGTCTGGAGAACTTTGTATGATCGGAAATGCAAAAAAAGAAGGAGGGAAGAAGGAGAAGGATGGGAAAGAGAATGTTTATCCAGTACCCGACCGAGTTACATTCTGTCTCTTATACACATCTAGATGTCTGGGAGGAGGGGATCATGGGTCCTGACCCCTCCCTTATGCAACAAAAAAAGGGGAAAAAGAAAAGGATTCTAGACCTACCTTTTCAGGACCCGTGAGCTGATTTTTTTTTTTTTTTTCTGCTATTAGAAAATTAGAATTTTGAAGAACATAAAATTCATTAAAACACACTTCAAATGTCGGGAAAGCTCAATTCCTGCATTCTAGGAATCAAAATTTTCCCGGGGAAGAACCACAGGACCTCCCCACCCCCCACCTTTCTTTTTGGGATTTATCGATTCATGAAAAAACTACGTATGCAACTTACTCAATCTTTTTTTATGTATGTATACACACATAAGGCCTATTTACTGTAATAACAATGGGAAAAAATTATCTGAAAGTTTTTTCTTTTGATTACTTTTTTGTTCTTCAAAATTCAAGGTTTTCCCATCTTGAAAACGGTCTGGTAATTTTTTCCCATTGTTTTTTTTTTGAAGAACTTTTTGAATTTTGAAGAACTTAATTACTTTTAAGTTCTTCAAAATTCAAGGTGTTCCCCTCTTGAAAATTATTATAATGAATCAATGAACCCAGGGAAAGGGATGTTCGAGTTCTTCCCGGGAAAATGTTGATTTCTAAATGGTGAACAATGAGATTTCCCGACTTCTGAAGTATTTTTTAATGACTTTAATTTAAAACCCCCGACCCAAGACCCCTGTTACGTGCCTGCTTATAAGTGGGACCCCCCCACTTTGAAAAACGTTCCGCCGGCCCTGTAAAAGGCCCTTCATGAAACATTGTTGAATAAATAAAATAAATACTGTGCTATATATTAATATTTTACAGAGAAAGAGGAATGGAGGATGATCATGATTCAGATATTGAAAGTGAAATACGAAAGGTAAGGATTGGATAAATCCGCCCTCACATTGGATAATCTTTACCAAAACAAAGGGTAACCAGCTTTACCTACATCATATGTTGAGGTCTTACTGAGGGCCTTTTGATTTGATTTATTTTGTATGTCACAGAATATAACAGCAATTTTAAAACATCATCAAGATGTATAAAGTGTAGAAATAAAAGTATTTATTATTTATTTATTCTAATTTCAGCCATGACAAACAAAAGTAAAAAAACAATAAAATTAAAAAGGCAAGAAGAAACCAAACAGCTGCAGAACACCTATACAAATCAAATAGTTTGTCGCTCTCACGTCACGAACTAACACAATCAAAGTAGATTTTGTTAGTTTGTGAAATCAGAGTAGCGCGTCAAAACAAGGGCGTATTGGTTGTCCAGCACTTTTGTATTCTTTACCACACAAAAAGTTGTTAACAACAACAACGCATGTTTTGATGCGCTTTCTTGATTTCATGAACTAACACAATCTTCTTTGAATGTGTTAGTTCGTGATGTGAGTAATAAATTATTATCATACATCTGAAATACTCAAGATTCAAGATTGTTGTCTTTGCTCCAGTTTACAAATTCAACTACAAAATTACTATACAGAGTTTCATTTTCAATATTTATGTAACCACCATCTGTTCTTACCATATCATCCGCTAATTTAATTACAGAACATGAATTGTTTGTACTAGCAGTGAATAAAGTACACAGTATATGTGACATAACACAGACCCTGTGGAATGTCAACATGTAAAATCTGCTCATTAGAAAAATTACCATTTATATTAACAAGTTGTGGTCTGTGTCTTAGGAAGAGATTAGATACTTTCTGGTCCAGTAATCTTGCTATAGAAAAAGTTCTAGCAACATCCTCAATGTCATACATATAACAGAGCAGGATAATAAAACAAATGCCAATACTACTACTTATGCCAATAATACTATAAAATATTACTGTACTTTATTTAGTTGTTATTAATAATTAATGATTCTTTTTCCTTCTCATTTGCAGGTTGTTCAGCCATTAGTTGATAAAATTAAAGAATTGGAAAACAAGTAAGTATAAAATTCTCCAAAGATTCTACTTGAATCTATGCAACAGAAAACTAAAAATCAATAATAAATGAAGTACTATTAAGACATGTTTACACTATTATGATAGCACTCAACGATACAAAGCTAAAAACAATTGTTTCTATAAAAAATAAAAGAAATATGAGAAGTTTCACAAAAATACAATTCAATAAAGATTTATTGTGTATATGATAACAAAATATTTTCACAAATCAAACAAAATGACATCATAATCATGGAAAAATGATAAAATCGTAGTAGTAGAAACGATTTTATTGTTTCCCCAGAATATGAGGTCATTTTATTTAAATTGTGAAATAATTTTTTTATCATGTACACGACAAATCGTTAATTGAATCGTGCTAGTATGAAAAATTCTCTTATTTCTTTTATTTTCAAAATGAACAATTGCTTTTCAGTTTTTTATTGTTGATCGTTATCATCATAGTGTAACCTTTAGGCTGTCCAAGCACAGTGATGTTATAATCAGTCTGTCTGTGTATCCGTAACTATTTATGCCTTACTCCATGCATTTTGGTATAATTGTAACAGGGCTAAAAATCATTGTTGAGAGATCAAATGTATGAGTTAAATTTTAAAAAGCAGTATTTTATTGGCCCCTAAAATAAACTGCTCATAGGTTTTCAGATTGTGGGTCGGTCGGGCTTGGAAACTCAATATTTTCTTTGGCCATATATTGAATTCATACATTTAATAATATATAAATAGATTGATTTAAATTGATAAATTTATTGTAACATGAAATATTTAAAAGAAACTGCACAAACTGAATTTCCAACATTTGGATTTAACAAGTGTTGGTATACAGTAAATAACAGATTGACAATATCAGGCATCATTAAGGGGATGTCATAAATATGTGTATTTGTACAACTTGACAGCTTAATATATTGAAACATTTTTTACCCATTTAGGACTACTCGGAAGTATCCAGAAGTAAAATTTCTCACAGAAAAAGATCGCAAGAGAGTATTGGCAAGTTATCTTAGGGAGTGGTTTCAGTTATGAGAAAATCCTATTGTCATATGATTTCAACCCAGGGCCCTGGCCAGGGATTTATCAATCTCAACTAAGCAAATGTCTTAAGTCAAAAAAGTTAAGATGTCCCTAATAAATATCTTAAACTTATTTATTACCCAATCTTAGCAAATTCTTGGCTTAACAATCGTCCTTAGATGACGCCAACGTACAATCGACTTTCTAATTTTAAGCAATTTTTAAGCTTAAAGCAATATGGATAAATTTGACTTAAGCAAAAAAATGGACTTAAGACAAATTTAAGCTGATTTCTAGTTTGATAAATCTGGCCCCTGGCATTGGAAGATTGTTTGGGAGATTAGATTATGTCTGATTTTTAATTAAATTGCTGTGAGACTGTGCTGGGAGACCATAGAGTACTACAGTATTATGTCACAATACCATGTGATGCTACTCCGTTGCTATTGTTGCAAAATGCGTTCAATGATATGTCATTTTCTCCACTGACAAACCATTTGAGCTCAATTTCTAACGTAATTATTTAGATGTTGTATCTTAGTTTTTCTTTGTAAATTTTAACTGATGATTAAATATGTGTTCGATAACTAATATAATGCAAGCTTACATTTTGATGGTAAAATATTAGATTTTAAAATGCCTATTCCAGAAAGCCTATGAAGTCATTCAGCATAATGAACGGTAACTAACGTCTGGTTGTAAACAAAGGGCGCTACCTGGCGTTGTGATGACACGACTGTGGTATGCTATAGGCTGATTTTAAAAGAAACTGTTTATTTAACCAGAGAATTATTCACTTTTTAACCAATTCAATTAAGTTTCTGCTTCTCAGTTTTAAGTTTATATTTCCTTCATCAAACTAATGCCATAATACACTGTTTGATATTTATTTTGTTTGAATACTGTTAGTTTAATATTATCATTTCAAATTGATTACTATTATTGTTATTAATGTATTCTTTTAATTTTAATATACTGGTGGTTCCATTATTATGATTATTAAAATATGAATTAATTATTATTTTACATGTTAGATAACGGGTGGCTCAGGGTTTGTAGGCTCTCATCTTGTTGATCGATTGATGATGGAAGGTCATGAGGTCACCGTTGTTGATAATTTCTTCACTGGACGTAAACGCAATGTAGAGCATTGGCTTGGGCATAACAACTTTGAGCTGATCAACCACGACATTGTGGAACCGCTTTTGATTGAAGGTAGTTTGCATAGTTTCCATATTATTTGTGTAATTCTGTTGTAATTTGATTTGTTTCCAAAACAATTTATTAAACAAAACTGTTTTAATTTTTTGTGTTTAATTGCAGTTGATCAGATTTACCACTTGGCATCCCCAGCTTCGCCCCCTCACTACATGTATAACCCAATTAAAACAATAAAGACCAACTCAATGGGTACACTAAACATGCTTGGCCTTGCTAAACGTGTCAAGGCCCGATTACTGCTGGCATCAACATCTGAGGTTTATGGAGGTACAGTTGTTTCCATTATTTAGTTTTGATCATTCACAACATAAAAAATATTGTATCCAGTATGGAGGTGTAGGTTGGTTCTTATGGTCTTTGAATAATTTAAAGAATTTTATTTGATTGTCCTTTTACAGATCCAGAGCAACATCCCCAGACAGAGGAATATTGGGGTCATGTGAATCCCATTGGTCCTAGGGCGTGCTACGATGAAGGCAAACGTGTTGCTGAGACCATGTGCTATGCATACGCTAAGCAGGTTCGCCATAAGTCATATGATTTTAAATTATGATTCTTATTTGAATTTGTCAAGGTTTATGCACTAAGTTGCTGCTGTTTTTTTTTTATAAAATGGTGGTTGCATACTATTTCCAAATGTAGTGTGTGTCCGGTATGAAACTATTGATTTCCAGAATTTTAAAAACCTAATTTATTTGTAATGTTATATTTCTACTATAATGTTAGTATTTTTGTTTATATTTTTACCATAAAAACAAGACTTTCATTTTGGGACAGAATATTTTGATTAAAATAAATCCAATATGTCATTCAAATCAGTACAGTAATTCATTTTTGTCTGTGTGAGATTGCATATGGGCAAGTAACAAACATGACATTGAAAACAGTGGGAATTTATTATGGTCAAACTTATAACCTGTTCTGTGGAATATAAACCTGACAAGTTGATGTCAGGAAAAAATTGAAATAAAAATATTTTTTTTTTTATAAAATCTGAGATTCTGACAAATTTGTGTGAGGATGATAGCCTGTTTTATGGCCTGTTAGATCTATCTTGGATATGATATAAACAAGTATATTCAATTGTCTTCTAAAATTTGCAGGAAAATGTTGAAGTAAGAGTAGCAAGAATCTTTAACACGTTTGGACCACGTATGCACATGGCCGATGGACGAGTGGTCAGTAACTTCATTATGCAAGCGCTGCAGGGCGACCCTATTACTATATATGGGTCGGGTACGCAGACTCGCAGCTTCCAATATGTAACGTAAGTTCAAACATTTAGAGTATGATGGTAGGCTTACGATGCATATATTGCCATGACTACTTTGTACTTAATTACAATACTACTCCTGTCAATGGCTCAAGCACCATTTTGTACATACAGTCAGTGCATTGGTGTATCAACCTTCCTATACTCCTGGGTGGAGAGAGACAGCCACAGATAAAGTGCCTTGTCTAAGGACACAAGTGAAATGGACAGTGAGGGCATGAACCCCTGACCAAGGTTGAGAGACCACTTTCCAACTGCTGCGCCAACAGCTCTTACCTTAGTATTGTATATACGATACTTTTGTTACCAGTTTAGCAAAATGTTTTAGAATAACAGTATTAGAAGTAATTAAGAAAGAAATATACAGAGAGCAGTCAATGAGACAGGCACATATTCCTACAAAAAGCATCACGTTAAGCTATTTTACTTTCATTTAATGTACAGAAAATTTTAAATACATTTCATTATGAACTAATAATAAATGATGTTATTTTTGTAGAGATTTAGTAGATGGTTTGATTCGATTGATGAACAGTCAAGTTTCAACACCTGTCAACATAGTAAGTCAGGGTTAAATCTATCAATATTCTTTATAGTGAAAAAATAATTGATGATGAAAAAGTAATGTGGATTTAAAGAAAAACAACAATTTGTAATAATATTAATATTTTGTATGCAAACACAGAAACTGTGTTTACAGTTTCGTAAAGAGGTCACCTCTACTTGATCATAGATTGAGATGTAAAATGCTGCATCACTACCTAGATGCACAATGATCTTGCTGAAACTGTATTAAGCAGAGTTTCTCTATTGGTGACAGCATTGTAGATTATCTGGGCTTAGTATAGCGATAATAGCACATAACTCCAGTGCGTATACATTCTCTATTAAAGAAATATATGTTCCACATTCATTTTATGTCACATTATTTATTTAATCTTCTTACTTCTCTTCTAGGGAAATCCAGATGAACACACCATTTTGGAATTTGCTCAGATTATCAAAAATTTTGTTGGTAAGAGAATCAACAACTAAATACAATATGAAAATGTATGTTATAGCGCCCCCTATTAATCTTTTGTGTTACCTAACTACTTTCATCTGTAATTGTAGTATTGTGTGTTTTCTGAGTAATAGTGGTTTCTTTATGCATTGAGTACCTTTCTTAGTTATATGTTTATGATAATTATATTTCTTGTGTTGGTTTTAACAATGTTCTGTAAACATGTAATGCATGGGATGTCATTATCTCTGTTTTATCTTTTACATTATAGTACTTAAGTTTATAATTATATTTCTTGAATTGTAGTTTTAATACAGCTCAATGGAGCTAAAGTTGGTCTTGTTCAGGAAGAGAGGGAAGGGAAATATTTAGTAATTAGTTTTGGTTAGGAAAGAAGCAGATAAATTTAAATATTATATTAAAAAGTTTACCAATAGCATATGTTTATGGTAATGACATTTCTATCTCATCCAACGTCAAGTGTACTGGTTTTAACAGTGTTCTGTAAACTAAATACATGGGATATCATTATCTCTGTTTATCTATTGCATTATCATACTTAAGTTTATATTTATATTTCCTGAAGTGTAGTTTTAATGCATTGTTTATGAAAAGAGCGAAGGGAAACATTTTTATTTAGTTTTGGTTAGGAAAGAAGCAGATAAATTTAAATATTATATTAAAAGGGTTGCCAATAGTATCAGTCATGAGAAAGGGATTGTCTTATGGTTGTATATTTTTTAGTTTTGTTGTAAAGTTTTTACGTCCAAATAATTATTATTAGTTTATTGTTATAAATAAGTGAATCTCTGTTAATAAGTCAATTCATAGTTTGAACTGTGCATGCCCATATCAAGGTCAGTCGACATAAATGAACAATCATACACACAACATAGGTTTATGTCAATTGACCTTGGATGCAGGCATGCATAGTTCAAACTGATGTTTCAAACTGTTTTCTCTTTAATTTTCTTTTATTTGTGTAGCTTTTCTTTTCTACCACTCTTTTTTCTGTTTCAACCATTTATTCTGTTTTTATTTTCTTTTCTGTTGCCCTGGAAAGCACATAGAGACGAATGTTTTATGCGCTATGCAAGTGTACAACCATTGACCTTTGACCAAACTATGAGTTAATTGATTAAAATATGTTTTGCTTTGTTTCCCAAATTCAGGAGGAACTAGCGAAATAGTACACAAGGAGGCAGCACAAGATGATCCGAAAAAAAGAAAACCAGATATTAGTAAAGCAAAGAGGCTCTTGCAGTGGGAACCAAAGGTGTGTAAATTTCCCTAGGCCATACCTTTATCATCATCATGACACACCATCATTGTTATCATCATTATCATCATATCATCATCATATTATACCTAAATATATTTAAGAAGATGCAGGCGCGGGCAGAGGCAGATGCAAACAGTGCAAACGCATCACCCTAAATTGTATTAAGAAAATAATTGTATTGTATTGTTGATATGAACATATTACCAGTAAGATTTTTAAGGTATTAGAGACTTGGGAGTGCAATTTTCGTGCGCCTAGTGGTCTGGACTCATGCATCCCCTACTGTCAAATCCTGCATCCGCCCCAGATATGAAATAAATAATACATTCTATACCTTCCATATTTATATATTTTCTTCCAAAATTTTCCTTTCCATTTAGGTGCCACTTGATGAAGGAATTTCAAAAACTGTTGAATACTTCCGCACGGAATTAATGCACAGCGACAAGATGTGGCAACCAAAGTTTTTACGTGATGCGCACTAAGAGGTGTATGCGCACTAAGAGGTGTATGCGCACTAAGAGGTGTATGTTCTCAAATTCCAAATTTGAATATTTATTAAAGTAGAAATAAGGTTTTAACAAAATTTCTATAATTGGTGGAAGGCGAGCAGGGGAGGCAAAGGAGTCAGGGACTGATAGAGAAGGTAAAAGGAGGCGGGGGATTATAGATGGGAAGTGTACAGGAGGCAAATGATGAACACACATCATTTCACAGTTGAACAGAATGCAATAGACGGATACACTCCAAGTAAGTGGTGGCGCCTGGATATGACGACAAGCAGTTCAGTTGTCTAATGGAGCAAAGCATTAGTAGGGACCCAGGGTGCTAATCACCAGGCGTCTAGAGATACTGGGTAATTTTAGACCATTTTAAGCTGTTCTTAGGCATTTTTTAGCTGTTTTGAGAAGCTTACTAGCATGTATGTATTTTAAACAAGTTTTTTTACGATAGACGATGCAACACTGTCTGCTGATTTTTGGTGGCAGTCTGAATGGATCGTCATTAAAAATGATCCATTGCGCGCACGTTCTTCACAGAATCGTGTCGGCCAACAGCGAAGTGAGTGCCCGGATTAACGAGTCATGTCTGACAGGAGGCTTAAGTGCCCTTCTCATCGCTGCCCTCACTGACTCCATGTGAAAGGTTACAGAGGTCGAAGGGCAGCAGTGGGTCAGAAATTGAGTCGGGGAGGCATGGAGGATAATTTCTTGATTAAATATAAAAACATTATCATGTTTTTATTTTTAATTGACCAAAATGTGTATAATTTTCCAGTTGCAGTAAATACCAGGACCTTTAAATTTTACTTAGATTTTTAAGTCAAATTTATCTTTTCATTCAGCTTGAAACTAGAAATTATTCATGTAAGCTACTTTTTTTATTTGCATGGTGCTAACATTATGTTTAGTGGTCTCATAAACCATTAATACTTTGTTCAGGAATTAGTGTTTTATAAGTGGTCCTATACATCAGTAAAACATGTTAAATTTATTTTTCTTCATAAGTTCAGTGCAAGAATCTGATCTTGCATATGGAAAATATTAATATTAAAAAGTATATCATTACACTATTTCATGTATTTTTGTTATAATTTATAGATTTTAACTAATACCAACGTTGCGCATGTTTTGTAATGTTGTCTTATTCTTTCTATTTCCTTGTCTTCTATACATTTTGCAGGATGTGGTAAAAATTATTGCACTGTTTGCAATTTTTATTTCCTTAAAGGCTTTCAAAGTCAATAATTCATTGTCGGAAACACATTAATTTTTAAGTTTGTAATATTGTTTTAAATAAAATAAATGTCTATCACTATCACTTTTTCTGTGACTATCCATATAATAATAATTTGGCAATGTAAAAGTAAAATGTTGCAAGGAATAGGCATGACCCCAAGCAGTAGACTGCTTTTACTGCATTGTCTAAAACAGATATGACAGAGTTTACGATAAGTTGTAGATTTGAGGAAAACTATTTTTACTGTACATTTGAATAAAATTGTCTTTCTTTATTTGCAAATAAAATAAGTTAGAATTTGTATTGAATTTTGTGTCATTGTGTTTATCTTTATTACGATTATCATTAGAATTGCTTGTTAATTATTTACGAGGGGTTGGAGGTGAAAGGGACCCTGTCTGGTAAGAAGCCAATTATTTTCACTGAGAGTGCCATTTCCGGAAATTTAGGTGACAATTCTTAAATTTTTTGCCAACAACACTGGGGCTACGGAGAATTTGGACCCCTGTATGGTACACCTGCCAACTCTCACGCATAATGCCTGAGTCCAGCATGACCATCCACTTTTTACGTCTCGCACCCATCTTGCCCTCTATAAAAAAATTTAGAGATAAAATGTATAGACCCATTATACCCTAAAATTCATCAATAAAAAGTGTATGCATGTATTAACGAAGCTGTACCGACCGATGACTAATCAGCAGCAGTTCCACCACTACAATTTAAAACAAATAACAGAGGGCGCTATATACACAGTTAATTTTTTTTGTTTCGCGTATATCGGACGCCAAGGTATATTTTGGGAACTGGGAGTCGTCTTTACTGTCATGCAAGCACATGTCAACACGTGTTAAAAGGATTCAGAATTACTTCTCCAAATTTGGGACAATTTAAAGTACTGTAGATTGGAATATCAACAATAGTTGACAAAGTCAAAACTCACTTCAAACTGGAAAAACTCAAAACCGCAAGATTTTTTAAATCTTATGTTTTATTTTATGAGACTTCCCTTGTACAATTATGTTTCTACTCACAATTATACATATAATTTTCATATGGTTTTCACATATGACTACATTATTTGAAAAATCCTTATTTATCTTTTGACCATCAACAGAATATCAAATGATTATTGATCGCACATTATACAATCATAAATGTTACATCACATGGTTGTATATATATTAAGCATATGATCATACCATGATCATGATGATCGTACATGATCATGAATGTTACATTGCATGGTTGTATATATTACATATGATCATAACCATTATGTGGATTATACATTATATATATATACAGTATATATATATATATATATATATATACAGTATATATACATATATATAAATCATATGATCATACCATGATTATCATATCTCACCACAATCACATGATCACAGTGTTTACATCACATGGTGTCACATTATATGATCATACATGATAGAGATCCCACATCACATGATCATAAACATTACATCATATGATCACATCACATGATAATGAATGTTAAACACCTCATGTATCACACAATGTTGCATCACATGTTATAGTATAACATGCGATAATGATTCCCTCGATCATAAATATTACATCACATGATCATAAAGATCATGAATGAAACAAAATACTTAATAAAATATTTAAAATATTCCTAAAAACAGGTTAAAAACAAAATATTTCTTGATATCAAAACCAAACAGGTCTGGTTAACAAATTATGAATATTGTTTTGTTTTTACCAATTTGCTAACTATATATATTTATATAATTATTATGAATGTGTCTAGTTAACACCGGAAAATAAACATTCAATTCTAATGAGATTGTATCTTAAATTACACAAATATGAAATTAACATTTACTATAATACTATTGACATGTAAGATTCTTACAAACTCTAAGTTTAACAATGTTATTAAATACATCTTTATCCATAAACTTATTTCATGTACTGAAACTACTGAAATCAAAATAATTAATGGAGACAATGTTGAAAATTAGTTGGAGCTACAAACAAATAGTACATGAGAAGGCTGGGATAACTTTCATTCTATGATATCTGGAAACTGCTTAGGAACAATAAAGACAACAACAATAATATCGGAATTGATATCACGCATTTCAGCTATGATACAATGCGCTGGTGATTTTGTTATCATTACCCCCGATCGCTGCGCCCCCCCGGTGAATGGGTTACTATTTACAAAACAGCATGAAGTGCAAACTTCTCCCATCCCTGGGGGCATTCTAGTTGTGCTGTAATTGAATACAAACACACACACTGATACATTCAATGCCACGATATCTACCAAGTACTCAATTATATTCCTGGGTGGAGAGAGACACATGTAGGCAAAGCGTCTGGCCCAAGCACAAAAGCGAAATACACAGGTTCGAACCTCAACCTCAAGGTTGAGAGATCAAAACGTATTTGCTGAAAGGGTATAGTACATCTAATAGTATATTTATCTCTATACATTCACTAGTAAAAAATACACCTCTACATAAATAGTAAGTGGAGAATTATTATTGAGGGCGTCCTGTACAATGAAATATATTAAGTTTAGAATCATCAACAATTTAATAATGAGGACAAGTTCCATTGAATAAAGGTACTTAAATATTTAACTACTTCAACAGTTACTTAAGTTACTTGTTCTATGAATGCATAGGTACTGTGGCGCTATTGCATTTAATCACAAGCGACAGACAATAAACTGGGATTTTTAGTGTATTTTTAGAGACAGTCTTTGATATCAAATTAATGATGAAACAAATATTAAAACCTCTAAGAAATAGAAGGCATCAGGGAAACAGGAAAATCCCCAGGCTAAATCAGTGTAGTTAACCATTTACACTTGTCTGGAAATATTTAAGTCATGTGAAAATTTCTGGAAGACTCTTTATAGGTGGATTTACATTGGAGCATTTTTGTTTTTATATGAAATAATTGATTCATATTCAGACTTATGAAAAATGTTAATCAATACACTTTCTTAATTAATTAATTAATTGATTAAATAATAATTGCATTATTTGTTGAGCATAACATTTCTTTTTCAACGCAATGCTTATGGTCCAGCAGTATAAAACCTGAATCATTATTACTTTCAGTCATATTTATGTTGATCCTAAATTTCTAGAAACACTATTCCATTAATTTTTTTATTTATTTTCATACAATTATTTCACAATCACCTACACCTTTTCAAGATTATTCCAATTTTAAAAAGAGTTTCTTTTGTATAAAACAGTAATAATTGAAGCCAGTACAGGATGAATCTATGAGGCTTAAAGGGGGTGGGATTGTTGAGTGGGACTGTAAAGGTTTGGGCGAGCACCAAGACTTGAACCCAGAACCCAGGAATCTTCTACACTATAATTATTGTAATGGACCACGACGTAACTACGTAACTTGGGATTCTTGTCTTGATCTGGCCATGCCAACTAGAAACTATAATTCCTTGAAATATGTTGAATAATTTTCTTCAACATGATGTATTTAATGCATATTATAACAATTGGAGCATTAAAAAAGTATCTAAGAAAACATGACATTTAATTTAGCCCATGGCTCAAGTGGCTTGTAGATTTCCTTGTAATGCAAATTGCCATATTTGGTGAAATTGCTAAATCAAGCTTTCCAGAATGCCAATCAAACAAACACCAATCAATCAGATCATCAGTACTAGAGTTTAGATCATTGGCTATGGCCAGATGCATATAATAATACATTTTTTTTTTACTATAAGACATTAATGTTTAGTGCAATAGCTTATGTTGTCTTAAAATTTTGGATCAACTGCTTAATATATATTCACGATTGAGGGCAGAGTTCTCATAAAAACTTATTCAAAATAAGTATTCCAAAAATCTAACCAGCAAAACATAAACATGAAACAAAGTATTAAACAAAGTTAGTCCAATTCAAAATCAAGATATTATATTACACATTTATTTCAAAATTAGTTCATTGTGTAATTTGAATAAGGAGCATATCTGAAAATAAGATTGATAATCAATACCTCCCAGTTATTGTTAACTTGACACAAGAAAAATTATCAAAATCTGTAAATTTAGTATAAAATTGGCGTCAGGTAAGAAATACAAACATTTTTTATAATTTACACTTGCAATCTGACCTATTTAAGTTTCAAACCAAAACAATACTTTAGATAAGACAGGGATGACCATGATATAATTATTTTTTAAAAAAATCAAACAGCAAGATATTTTGGTTTGTTTTTCTAAGAGATCAATGCATTTTCAAGTCCATCACTGACTTCAATTTTGTGCCACAGTTGTAATTTGGTCATCTATCTGGTGGAAGGACACCTATCTGTTATACTACCAAATTAAAATTGGAATTTAAATACAAGAATTTGATAGAGGAAGTTTTTAATAGTTAACAAGACACCAAACTTTGATTTGTTCAGAATCAAATCAAATTATTGAGCATATAATGCCCCATGGTATTTACACACAGTTTGCCGTATTTAATTTGTAATAAACCTGGCAACTCAAATTAAATCCTCCAATATGTTATCCATCCGCCTTGCTGGCAGCCATCTTGATTTGCTGGTATGCTACTGACCAGATATCTCAATGAAAAGCATTCTTAGAGCATCAGTGTTGCTTGAGGGTTTCTTTTGCAGCCAGAATAAGGGGCACCAAACTTAGTAGAGGCTTAGATTTCTTGAGAAATTTATGCTGAAATTAAGAAGAAATATATCCAATATTAAATTTCAACACTCAACCAACTACACAAAACAAACAAAAACCCAACAATTCAATAAAATATATTTTTACCTCTAGAATTTCTGTATTTCTTAGTTTGTTTAACTTGTAATTTGATTTTATACAAAGTCGCCATATTTGTTATACAATATTTTACTGTTAAGGTTGTTTTTATGCTTGATGTTGGTTTTTTGGAATAAAGACCAATAAAAAAAAAATATATCGTACTTAATTTGATAAACAACCTGCTTTGAATAAATGCCCCCTTGAATAACGTCCCCTCTAGAACGTCCTTTGGAATAAACACCTCCCTTGAATAAACGCCCCAGGGCATTTATTTTGTCCTTCAATACCCCCTAAATGACTGTAAACTAATCTAATGGAAGCAACATCATTCTTAACACATTCTAATAATGTTCTACTTCAATTCAATTACATTTTTCTAACCTGGTTGGGATCACTAAGCCTTTATGATCACTCAATAACACATTTTGACAATAATTAAGTGTTGCAGTTCCACATATTCAGTGAAATTAAGGGAAATATATTTCAGTATATACGTATGCATTTCCTACCAATAAAAATAAAAAATTGCCTTCCTCAAATAAATGTCTCCCTCGAATAAACGCACCTAAAAATCCTTCTCAACAATAAAACCCTCAGGGGCATTTATTCGAATAAATACGGTAAATGAAATAATTGAATGCGGTCTAAGAATAATGGTTACCTGTAAGAGTTCACCACTTGATGCTCGCTTGTCTACATCCATATCCAAACATTTGGACAAGAAATCACGAAATTCTGCTGTCAGTTTCTCAGGGTGCTGAATTTCTGGTGTACCATTTGTTGCTATCAAATACAATGCCTGCGCCAAACAAAAATATACAACTATTAATATATTACATAAAGAATACCTGAATTCTGTAACGCGACATCAGTCTCAGAATTCAGTGTAGTTAATTTGGAACTAAGGATAACTTATTACTAAATTATGTTTATTTATTTATTTATTTCTTGTTTAACATGTGTTAACATCTCAGTTGAAAACTAACTGTTATCCTTATGTTCCCAGGATATGATACACAAAACTTATAATCCTTATCTACTTACTTTAATAATAATAGTACAATACATAAGAAGATTAATGACAATAATAATAATAATAATTTTAATAATAATAACATTAATAGGATTAAATAAGCCAACAATTAAGATGTAAATTGTTTTAACTGTCATCGACTCATCTAATACTATAATTCCTAAGAACAACATTAATATTTATAATGATGATAATAATAACACTAATAAGATTAAATAAGCCTTCAATTAAGATGTTAAATAAATTGTAATAGCAAGGCCTATTAATCAGTCTCAATCATTACTTGCTATAATAAACTTACTCTTATTACCAAATTATGTTTTGGTATTGAAGCTTTTTACTCAGTCTAAATCATTACTTGCTATAATAAACAAACTGTTATTACTAAATTATGTTGTAAAAGCAAAGCCTTTTAATTAGTTTAAATACTGTAATTACTTGATATAATAAATATAACATACTCTGAGAGGATTTTCATTTAGATATGGTGGTTCACCCTCAATCATCTCAATGGCCATGATGCCTAAACTCCATATGTCAACTTTCGGTCCGTACTGTTTCCTAGTAACCACCTCTGGGGCCATCCAGTATGGCGTGCCCACCATTGTGGTCCTCTTGCTGTTCTCAGGAGTTATCTGAGCGCAGAAACCAAAATCAGCTGAAGAGAATTAAAGTGCAACAATATGTTATTTAAAAAACATTAAAACGAAAAAAAATAATATTTTTAAAAAAAATTTCAAATGAATTTGTTCAAAAAATTATCTATGCTGATTGAGAATTAATATCGTACAAATTCTTATAAAAAACTTTTAATTTCACTTTTTATAATTAATATTATATTAAATAATTATTATGCTGGGTATTGTTTATGATTGACTGATTTATTAATCGACTGCTTTTAAGATAATGTATCAAATTATAATGGGGTAAATGCATGTAATAATAATAGTGTTGATGGTGGTGAGGATGACGATGACTATGATAATGAAGATGATGATAAGGATGATGATGATGATGATGATGTGTGATGATGATGACAATGATGACAATGTTTTTCGGTCCTGTTTGACATTGCCTCACATGGGTAAATAAAGAATTTTTGGTCCAGTTTGAAATTGCCCCAGGTGGGTAAATAAAGAATTTTTGAATGATGGTTATTATGCAATGTTAAAACAATTTTCTTGATCGATTCATACTTAGTTTAACATTGCCGTCCATTCCTAGCAGTATATTGTCGCTCTTGATGTCCCTATGAATGACTCCATTGTCATGTAAAAACTGCAGAGCCTGTAAACACTGTACACAAAACAAAACAATTTGACTGCAATCTATACATTTCATAAGTTTCTAGTTTTTGTTTCTAATTTATATAGTGTGATTTGGTGAAATTAAATAAAGATGCTAAAGATAAAGTCACTGTTAAGAAAAAAAAAATTAAGGGACTAGCAGATAACAGGACTTGGTTATAGAGCATTAAGTGTCCAAACTGATCAGCTTCCACGTCTCAAGGTACATGGAGGAATTTTGTTATAGAGCATAAAGAGTGAATGATCAGCCCTCTCTCCACTTTTCAAGCAACATGGAGATAATTATGTGAAACATTTTCAACATTGTAGTTGTGGTTTATAGCAAAGGTAATAAATAGCAGAAGATAGAGCAGCTTCCCAATATAGTGGAACATCCGTTCAAAAGGCATTGTGGGTACACGGAGAGCAATTTTGCATCATCTGTGCAGCGGCGCTATATAGAAATAATAAACAGCAATGAAGGCGCTGCTCTGGTTCATTTGTTTCCTGTAGTTTCTCCACTTAGTAAAATGTTCAAATTTTAGCTCATCCGCAGGAGGGCGAATGTTCCATCGATTTTAATGCAAATACGCGGAGCAGCTCATTCTTCTGCTATTTAATTCTTTGCTTATAGTTAATTGTTAGAATTATCTGCTTGGATTACTCCCCTGATGATGACTGAAGCAATTTAAGCGAAACGTTGAGACATACTCAACAAAAACAACAGTTCTTTTCAGAACTATCTATGTGGTGTACCGCAAGCATTTAATATATTATCTCTTTGCAATGCAAACCTTAACACAATATTAAAAATTATATGTCAAATTATTTTTTGTTTTGTATAAGTATGCACCATCAATGCATGTGAGCCACTGATTCAAAAGCATTTTCCAATACATTGATTGACTGATTGATTGATATAGATTACAAATGGTCCTTCCAATACATTGATTGACTGATTGATTGATATAGATTACAAATGGTCCTTCCAATACATTGATTGACTGATTGATTGATATAGATTACAAATGGTCCTAAAAGATCATCTTTCCATTACCTAACCTACAGGTGATTCCTGGTTAGAGTGCATCATGGGTCCAGCTCCCCAAATGGAACGCAGATCGGCATTAAACATGGTGGAAATAATAACATTTTAACTTACCTCTCTGCAAACACTAGCAATCTGTCCTTCGTCCATACATGTTTCAGTGACAACGTCTGTGAGGGAGCCACCAGCAAGAAACTCCATTACCACCTATGTATCACCATGGTAACAAGAAAAATACACATTTATATATAGTTTTGAAAATAATGCTATACAAATAACATGTATGGATACTTTTTGTTAAGAATATCGATTTGAAAATATAAGACAATAATCAAAATCATTCATACACTAGACAAATTGCTATAGGAAATGCAGATGATTTCACCCAAAAAAATTACAATCATTCATATAATAAACAATAATGATATTAATAGTTATTAATTTGTTTTAAAAAAGTCTTGAAAAACACAATACAACTTGAGTCAAATAAGCAATGTTGGATCCGAAGTTTTTTTTAAATAATGAAAATATAAATTTATTGTCTAATGTACATGCAACTTATTCTGTTTTTCTTTTCTTCTTACATTACTGATCAGAAATATATTTGTATATATTTTTGGAAAACAGTAGATTAAATAATAAAAGAAAATGTAAAATGCTAAATTAGCTAATCACCACCAGCACAATTCATTCAATAACTTACCCACAATTCCTCAGCAACAAGATAACTGTCAACATAGTTGACTATGTTAGGATTCTTGTTCTCTCGCATCACAAGAATTTCATTAATAATCAACTCTTTCTTAGGCTGTTGTTGAAGGTTCATCTGCTTAATGGCAACCTACAGGGAAAAATTATGGAGAGACATTATCAATATTTACAGATTACATTTTAAATAATGGAATACATTAAAAAATCATTATTGTTATGAGACAGATTTCAAAATGGCCAATGGAGATTCAGTTCCCATAGCAATGCTCAACAACAGACAGCTCTCTGCCTATGGCAGTATCCTCTTTTACGGCATTTAAACTATGATGGGGTTATTCACATGAGGTTTTTTTTCTGTTGACAGGTTTAAAATCATAATTTTAAGAAAGCTGTAGGCTAATTTTTAACAAAAGGTGTAGTCATGGGTACTGTTTGAAACATCTTCTTAACTAGGTTGATTTTTTTTTTTTGATTTGATATATTTTACATTCAATGTTACATATTACAATAAAATATTGAGAAAATAAATAAAAAATAGAGAGAAATAATTGATTGAATGCACTGATGACCCATTAAGTCTTGTTTTTGTACAGCACACTTATTTTCAATTGAGATAACCAACAGCTCACATTCGTTTCACTAGCAAATCATGAGATCTTCAGTTTCCCTCCACAGTATTGTCACATACTAATACCACTCCACTACCACACTCATGATATCTTCACATCCCTTTCACTACCACACTCATGATATCGTCACATCCCTTCCACTAGCACACTCATGATATCTTCACATCCCTTCCACTAGCACACTCATGATATCTTCACATCCCTTCCACTACCACACTCATGATATCTTCACATCCCTTCCACTACCACACTCATGATATCTTCACATCCCTTCCACTACCACACTCATGATATCTTCACATCCCTTCCACTACCACACTCATGATATCTTCACATCCCTTCCACTACCACACTCATGATATCTTCACATCCCTTCCACTACCACACTCATGATATCTTCACATCCCTTCCACTACCACACTCATGATATCTTCACATCCCTTCCACTACCACACTCATGATATCTTCACATCCCTTCCACTACCACACTCATGATATCTTCACATCCCTTCCACTACCACACTCATGATATCTTCACATCCCTTCCACTACCACACTAGTCATAATTTGCATATATTTCTCATTTGAATGTAGTTTAATTTACATTACTCATCATATTCGAATTAAACTATAACTTGTTACCAATATCAATCTTCTCTTTACTTACTAACAACTTTGACATTTGACATCATAAACTTTTCGTTGACCCCAGCTGCCTTGGAGGAATCATAGAAATTGAGGACATCCAAGACCGCTTGTGGATTTTTTTGCTGTTCATTCTTGGTGATGTTTGCCATTGTTAGAAGTTTGGCCCAATGCTCTGGCATCCCCTAAAAATAAGTTTAAATGTATTTAATCAAATGAGTTGATACTATGCATTAACAGAAACAGTTTCATAAGATATTAAACCAGTCCTTATATTTTAAGCTGAACGGTCATATGTTGTCATACGGTCATACGTTGAACAATGAACACAACCCCGCTCCCTGGAGCGCTAGACAACGTGATGACATTTGCCGATTGCTGGCGGCAGTCTGCAAGGATCGACGTTAAAAACGATATGTTGCACGCAAGTCGTGGCGCTGTGTTTTTTATAGAATCGTGTTAGCCAACAACCTACAGATGCAGTGAGTGTGAGGCTTTAGAAACACCAGCCTTTAATAAAATCAATTCAATCAACGGAAACGTCTGCCATTTATTCATTCAATCCCAGAAATCAAGGCATTTAAAACAAACTTGTTAACAAAGCTCACTTTAGAATATAAGCCACTGACCATCCCACTGACCTTTGCAACCACCTCCAGGGAGTGATTGCACAGTACGAAGCAGAAGCCTGGCCACTGTGACAAATGATATTATGCCATTGGCTGGAGTAAAATAATGCTCCAGAATACTACACCTCAAATAGTGGATCGATGGATTTAACAAACATTTTGGTACTTATATACACAGCAGTCGGATATGCTACAGGGTCCAAATTATGCCTAAAAGCCTAATTATGCAGAAAACATATTGAAATGTGAATGTATGTATTAATTTATTTGTGATGAATTTAATCAGGCTTTGTAACTCTGTCCACATTATCAAATTTTATGTGACAAAAATTAATGTGACATTTACTAGTGTGGACAGACCATAAACTGAACCTTCATTCAAAAGGGCTCCTACTATACACATTTTATATTATTTTTTCATTATTATTTATTGAATCTCTTAACAATTTCATAAATTCACCGAGTGATTCTGAAGTTTTCTTAAAGTAGTAAGCGTGTTCCACATGACAACCACATGGCAGAAAAAACTGTATCTGAAGACATCTGTCATGTGCATAGGTCAAAGACTATGTATTTAATCAAACCTTCAATTTGAATCTCAATTCAAAGAAATCCTAAAAATATATTTCTGAGTTATATGTCAGAGGTAATATTTAATCAGGCCTCCAATTTGAATCTCGATTCAAAGAAATCCTAAAATATATGCCAGAGTTATATCATATTCAATCAAATATTTAATTTGAATTTTGATTCAAAGGGATCTTAAAAATCTAATTAGTCATATCTGTGTTAAATATACGGTACAGTATATGTTATACAAGTTAAATACTGTATTCAATCAGTACTTCAATTTGCATCTCGATTCAAAGAAATCCTAAAAAGTCTTAGTTACAGGTGTATATTAGACAGTAGGATACTCAATCAGGCTAAATAAAAAATATAATTATTATACTGTGTTAATTATATTATGTCACAAGTTAAATATTCAATCAAGCCTTCAATTTGAATTTCGATTCAAAGAAATCCTAAAAATATGTGTCTGAGTTATGTCAGTAGGGTATTCAATCAGGCCAAAGAGAGCTTAAAATATAATTAATATATGTGTTAAATATGTCACAGGTTAAATACTGTACTCTATAAAAGGCCTATAACTTGAATCTTAATACATATTACAGTAAAACATTAACATTGATTAGTCTTGCACAGGTCAAAGGTTAAATATTCACAAACTAGACAAATTCTGTTAATTAAACAATTTTTTATATTGTTCTCGCCTCAATTAAGGTGTTTGGAAGGTGTTTGGAAGGGTGGGTTGCTGGCTAGCATCACTGAACCTGTTTCGTAAAGTGTCAGAATATTACAATCACTGAGCGATAGCCAAGTGTAATAATTGAATGTCTCATCTCATTTGCATAAATCGCCTAGCAGTGCAGTTGGCCCCTGGGGAACTACGCTTGTAGCAATGACGCTCTTCGTAAATTGAAATTCTCACAGTACATCCAGGACAGCATATTTTTTCTATGAAAATTAGATTTTTTGAAAGCTTGCTAATAATATTAATCTAATCAAGATAAACATGGAGGTTGGGTAGCACTTAACGAAAATTAAATATGCACTGTACTCTACTTCTTATGTTTGATATGCCTAACGTAATACGCCCTCGGATCACACTTTGCCAAATTAAATCTTAAATATTACAATTATTATTCCCATTATTAATTAATAATTTAAAAAAATGTGAATGTTGATTAATATTCAATAGCAACATTTACAAATGCCAAAATGAATAATCAATAATCATACCGTTATTAAAACCATATCAATTCACACGTTCCTGGATATTATTTTGCTAATTGCAAAAATAGCCAAATATCAAATGATGGCTGCTAATACAGGTAATATCCCAATAATGGACCTTTACACTAAGCCCCACTCCTTGGATATTGTTGATAAATCAAGATTTTTTTTATTCCTTGTTTCGTGTACTTACTTCTTTAAAGATTATCAGAAGAGGGCGGAATTAAAATAAAAATAAAATGTTGTTTTCTTATTTAGCAAATAGTTTTGCCAAAATCATCCGGACGGAGGAGAAAATAAAAATAAAATTTTATTGGTGAATGTAAAATATCATGGTTAAAATGCTTCAAATTACATAATTTGGAAGAAATATACATATCTTATCCCTGGAGATTTCAAGGCAGTGGAGGGCATAATAAAAAATTGTTTAAAACCTCCATTTACCTCCCTATTATAATAGCATAGTTAAACCTCTCTTTGAATGATTTTGTTGATATTGTTTGAGTCTGGAGGTAACTTAAGAACTTTTTGAATAAGAAAGATTTGTAGGCAATATTTGAACTTTCTTATGACTTACTTACTGTAAATATGTAACTTTGGGGCCAATTATTGTATCCTTCTTGCGTTCAAAATTCTCTTTGGCTGGATGACTTCATTACATAGTTATGTAATTAGCAAAAATTCATATTACAAAGATGCCCAATAGGCTTCCTATATACTGCCTAATTTGAACCATGAAAAAATAATTGCTTTTAATATTTCCCCGAGCTTTCCTTTGGTGTGCGTGCACCCCCAACCCCTATGCATTCCACTGCGTAACCCTTGTGAGGGAAATAAAGCTGTACTGACAGGTACCTATTTCTTTTGACAGCTCATGATAGAAATTCCGGGGAAGGAGATTGCACACACGAAAACAAGAACCTACATTCAAATTGTAAAGTCAGTTTTCATGGATATGAATTCAAAGTGTACACACAGTTATTCCATTGCAGTCACCCGACAGAAATCATGGTGATAACTCAGGTACAGTATGTCCGTGGAACTATAAATTTATTACTATGTCATAAGTTGAACAAGTATGGCTTGTATTTTCACTTTCGTAGTAGTAATGAAAAGTAAATATAATGTATAATTAACTCTTTCCATTAAACAACTTAAATTAAAAAACAAAATATCTAACAAATTATTTGGTTTATATAAAGTACATTGCACCAAGAATTCCAATACACTGTTGGCTGCACTCATTACAAAACTATTTAAATTGATTACTCAAAGTACAGGTTCATTAATCTATATAATTTTAATTTATTCCTGGCAACAGAAAAACTTTCATTCATTTGTTATGAAAAGAGATTTAAATAACAAAAGAGAAATAACAAATCCAATTGCGTACAGTATATTGCTAGCACCCTAAGCTTATGCTATTATCGAGTGAATAATACTTTTGTATTGCTGTACTTTCAGATGGAGTTAAAGGAAATTGAGATGTGTTCTTAATATCTATTATAAGTGCATTAAACTTTAATAAACAAAACATTAATGCTAATATTAGTAAAATTATTATAAAAACAAAAAAATGTACTCATTAAAACCAACTTATGATTAATGTAGACTTAATCAGGAGATTTTATTTATAAAATTACAAAATAATTTAAGTATGGATCATAATAAAATGATTTTCTTTACATTTTTACTGGTAACAATATTATTGCTTTTGGACCCCCCATAATAATAATACTACTGTAAATATTTGAGCAATTATTTAGCACTCTTTACTGGCTGATGGGCCTCAGAAATGCATCAATTTCAACTGTATGACATTTTTGGATGATAAAATATACTACAGAACATTTTAAAGATAGTAAAATTATAATAAGTAAATAACTCAGGTATCGGAATATCTAAATTACTATTTTTTTTCTGAAATTTCCACTTTTTCCTGGCAGCGGGTGTGCTAATTAGCCAAAAATAAAATGTTATATTTATTTGAAATCATCAATATTTGCAGTTGGCAGGTTTGCTAAACAAGGTATAAAAACGTCTCACTTAAAGAACCCACAAAACGACAGTGTAAAAACATACGCGAACATGTGCGTTTGTGGACAACACGTTTGTTGGACACGCGCGCATTCCTAGACATTTTTTGATTGGTCAGTTGTTAAGTTCGATTGACACTCTGGTAAGGTCTATAATGTTTCGATGGAAACATTGTAAAATCGCTTATACATTATTCAGCATTTATTTTAATCTTTTTAATCTAAAAAATTATGACCTTTCCAATGAACTTAAATGTTCTTCCAATCTCCATATTTTCAAGCAAATCTTCATAAAAATTTTTGATTTTATCCATTGTCATCCCCGAAACTTAGAAATACCGGGTTGGTGTCCGGCGTGGGATAGTTTCACTGGTAGTTAAGATATTATGTTTTTGTTGTTTTCTTTAATTCATTTTGTTTTCAATAATTTTTTTCTTTTCTAATTATGTTTGGCCTTGCACGACCTTGATGAAAAACACCCATGGGTGATTCAAGTGTCTCCGTGTTTAAATAAAGTATATTATTATTATTATTATTATTATTATTATTATAGAGGTCTCTATGATATGCGGTCTATAAGTCGACCATTATTATTATTATTATTATTATAAAGTTATATTCTCAATGACTGTTTACTTTTGCTGGCTTGCATCACAATTTTTACCAGTGCTAGACACCTTTACGAACAGCCCTCAAAGGAAGTAATCATCTAGGTCTATGCTATATTTAGACATCAAAAGAATATTGTAGCTGGAATGGCTAACTTTTATAATGACAATCCAGAATGCTTTTAATGCATACTTCTGAGAAAGCGGATTCCAAGTTGTATTTCACAGGATATGAATATTTAAACAGATGTGCCGACATGTTAAAGTAAGTAAAAATGAACAGACATGTACTGTAGCTATATCCACTAATTTATTCCTATTCCATCTACCAAACTGAGATGCAAATATTTTTCATTGTAAAAAAAAACTAGGTAGTAGTACTGTAGATCATACGTTACATGCGACCAAAAAATTAATTGTTATAAATGTGACCAAAATATTTATATTTTGTTGAAATAGGCCATGAAATACATTTAGGACCGAAACATATGTACCGGTAGCTCTAAAGTAAAAGAACACCTTGTAGTTTAATTCACTAGGAAAATGAAGAAAAATAAGAAAGATAAGATCCTGAATAGAAACAGGTGGGCTATACTGGAAATGTTATATACTGTAATATATGACTTACAAATTGCAGGTAATTCTGTATACTCAGGAGTATATTAAACTTTAATCTTTAAAAATAAGCAAACTTTATAGACACATCTTGCATAGCACGTTGATGGACTTGCTTACACAAAGAAAATAATTACACTGCATTGATGTAACACTTGTGTTCAGCGTTTGAACCGTATCTGTCTTTACTATAACCTTTACAGGGGCGGATTTGGCCGGCCCTTTTGGGAAGTAAAAAAAGAAAAAGAAAAAAAAAAGAGGGAAAAAGAAAAAAATAATAGCCCAGAATGTCTCAAATGTTATGTTCGGGCGTCTAGAACACAAAAATTTCGCGGGGCCAAGCCCCCGGACCACCTACGACAGTGTTGTCTCAGTCGGCCCAACTTTCGGCCCCACTTCCGGCCCCCCCTTTTGGACATTTCTGGATCCGCCCCTGCTTTATTAAATTTTCTAACAGGCTGTATTTGGCCCGCAAAAACCTACTGAGAACCTTGGCTCTATACTGTACATTCAACAAACAAAAATATACAATGTCAGTGAGTAGAGAAAAAAATCAGAGAACCTTATTGTGTAGCTAATATATCCCTTAAAAATAGTATTTATACATCTTTAGGGAGAACAGCTTTTCATCATCAAAATTTAAGTACCGATTCTAATCAGGATTAGTTCCTACTTACGGTGAATTCGCCTGTGACGATGTCAAATCCCACATGAACGGTGTGTTCAAAGCTCGTAGGTAACGAGATCTGCGGTCTGGCTTTGACATCTGCAAAAAAAAAGTAAATATATACTAATACTTGTATAATATCCTTCAATTCATTGACATGATTTGTTCTAAAAAACAAGTTATCCATTCACTGTACTAAAAAAAAAATCTGTAACAAGAAAAGAATCTGGACCTATGGTGTAGCTGCAAGACGAAAGGCTTCACATGGTCATTAGGTTGAGTTCAATGGTGGTCACATTTATTGGGCTTGAAATATGTACATGAGCTGCTTTCCAGCCAAAAGCATTATACAGAATTATAAACAGGATGTAAATGATTGGTAGCAGGCTGGTACTATCAGGGGGTTCCAGGGGGTTCTATGGACAACACCAAAAAGTAAAAGAGCCTGCTACACACATTTAGAGAATAAAAAAATTATACGCAATATGCAGCCAGTGTAGGACGCCCACTGCCATTCGTATGCTTTTTATTACCAAGTACTGCACCGCACATGGTTTGTTTGTTTGTTTATCTGTTTTCCACATGATACAGTAAAACACTTTGCAGAGGGCAGTAAATTTCCTTATTTTTCGTATCATCGAAGCGGGCGCACTGCCTATAAACTCACACATAGTGGGCGCACTCCAATACGATGATGGCGACTTTAGCAACTAGGGGAGTGATGTATTTACAACGGGAGTACGCTCTAATACTCTTTGACAACACTTACAAAAAAAACCCCCCAACTTCATGAAACATCAAAACATACAATTTTGCTGTTTAGATAACACAGTATTAATAAACTTATGAAGCAATGGGAAGCATTGCTAACTACTAGCAGAAAAAAATTTGTCAGAAAAAACCCAGCTTTACTAAGTATCAAATCGTTTACTAGAGTATTTACTAGAGCATACTCAAACTAATAATAACTCAATTTACTAAAGGAAGTATCATGATTTAGACACAAGTTGGTTACAGGAAGGAAACAAGCAACACAACTGACAGATTGTGTCTTTGTTAGCAGTCACATCTGTTTAAAATCAACTTAATTTTGTCCAGCTATTTCATTCAGAATGTTTTTCATTGATCATTCGTTTACGGTAGTTTCAATTCTACCTTGGTTATTTTTTTTTTTATTGCTTTTGAAGGAATGTGCTTGTTCATTGCAACCTTCTCTACTGTAGTTCACTACTCTCTAGGGGCCCGTTCGAGCGAAAAAATATCCGTGCGATTTTCCAGTTAATTCACCGGTACACACTTTCTAAAACCGCTCGGACACGCGCATAATACCTTACCATCTGGATTATCCGCGACAATTTTGACCACCAAATTGCTGGGTAGAATTCCATGTATGAGATGGCCTTGGAGCCGGAGAAGATGATAAATCAACCTTAATTGCTTTGTCAAATGGTTCGTCCACAGCAAGTACCCGCTGTCGTCGCGCTCTTCTTCGCCTCCTCATGTTCACGGC